TTTGAATTCTTTTCCTACGGAGGTTTTCTATTTCAGCTTCTCTCTGTCACCCCTCCCTCTCCCACACAGTTGCTCTTGCAGTATCCAGTGGTACGCTAAGCAGGTTAGAACCTGTCATGTCAGCATTATACCTAACAGGGACAGTTGTTGCTGTTGTCTTTATAGCCACTAGTCTGACGCAGGTAACAGACTCCAGACTTATGTGTGGAGTTGACAGTTGATGAAATTCAGTGTTAGGAAAAAAAAACAGATTTAACCCTACAAGAGCAGGGGGGGGGATTCCACGACAACATTTTCCCGATATTACTGCATTCCTTCCTTATGAGTCAAGCATTTAGGAGTGTTCTTAGGAACCCTTTGAAGTCATTTTGACACCAATTCTGTGAAAATGCATTTTTTTCCAAGGCATGTACATACATGAACTTTTCCGTTGCCGTTCTCAATGCTAGTGGTTTGGCATGCATATGGCCTTGGACTTCAAGCGATCTTAACAGCAAAGTCTTAGATTTAAAATATTAGGATAAGAAGTGCCTTTATATGCATGCCAACTTAAAATTGGGCAATTGGACAGCCAAGGTATTGGGGGCAGAATCTCCCCCCCCCCTCAGCTGTGAGTGGTCCAAAATAACCCTGCTCTTTTAATGTGGTCAACCCTTCACGAATGTACGCACGAAGCATACTCTGCTCTCAGAAATTTTACTCTTAATGAAGCTCTTTGTAAGCACCAGCCAGCATAAAGGGTGATACAGCGAATGGGCTCATCTACCCAAAGTGGTAGCCGCCAATCACATTGCTGGACTTGTTTTACGTCGTTCATACCTTCATTATAATGAACGAATCTCCGAGTCTGGCAACTTTGATTGGTGGAAATTCCGTATACATCATGCAAAATCATGTCGCTCATATGCAGTTATGAATAACTACGTATCACTGACGGGGTTCAAATTGGCTCATCCGTCAAGTCAGACTTACTGACTGGTGACGTATTACACACGTTGTACAATAAAGGTTATCAAATGAGGACGCCTCATAATGGTTATACGAGCTACTGGGCCAAGTGCGAAGACTGTGTAGTGCGTTCAGGCTGAAAGATGGCTGACTGAAGAAGAACAACGTAAGTCCGACTTGATTCAAGTCTAACGATCGCGAGGTGAGGGCCAGACCATTGGGCTACCACGAGATGTCACGGGATGCATTAGACTCATTTCTGTTTTGCCTAACGACACTGAACATCAAGGTGAAGGAATAGCAACCAAGGAATTCCCTGGACTGCAACTTAAGTGTGGGGGATGCAAGTTTTGCAGTAATTTTCTATCTAGTCAATAAACTACTTTGTCAGATGTACTTAATGGTGATGGCTTCCACATTACAACTCCAAAGTGGTTTTCCGACTACAAAAGACAGCTGAAAAGCGTGTCCTTATGGTTACTTTTTGATAGTGATATCCCGCTGGTTAATTTGGCCAGTAACTGATTGAGCTGCAAAAAATCAGCAAACTTGAACGGTTTCTTCAAAGAGGAGAAAATTTCAATTTTGTTCTGATTCAACCGTATGCCTTCTTATACAAGCCTGAGATGACTGTTTTGTGAATGGGTGGGAGCACTTTTCCCCCAAGAAAAACATTGTTTGGCCAAGGCAGTCTCAATAACTGGAGGAGAGTGTCTTCCGTGACAAGTAAAATTCAGGGGGTCTCATTTTAAAATATTAAAAACAATGTGTCCAGCTTTTGTCAAGTGTTCTTCTTTGGAAATATCACAGTTTGTGGACAGTAACATAAACCACACTTATAGTAAAAACACAACTAGTATATGTACTTGTACATGCTACGAAGATATAACAGCAAGAACTAAAGCTGTTGATGTGTATCGCAGGCTTCAAACTAATCCAATCACACTTCAAACTAATTTGTGAATTTTGCGAGCTTTAATTCTTGGCCAGAGAGGGAATCACATTTGCAGAAGCTACACAAGGATGGATCTGGAACCCTAATTTTGGACATTCTCATGGGTCCGTTTTTCCTCTAAGACCCATTGGAAGGAAGGGAAAAGAAAAAAAACTGTGTTCCTTCAAAACAAAACAAATTTGGGGACGGCCCTTCGTTGGATCCCCCCAGAATCCGCCCTTACAGCTACTGCTGAAATTGCTCTATGAAAACAGGTGCAGATGGTCATGCAGTAAGAGCCCCATTGATTTCACAAAGATTAATATGTCAGATGTGACTATGTTGCTGTCTCTGCAGGCCAGGTTGTATCGCATACGTATCAGTTCCACCCTGCTGTGGCCGCTCAGCTTTTTCTTGCTGCTGATCGTCGTGATACTCCTTCAGGTAAAGGTCTTCGCCCCTTAGGCCACCCAGCTCTGCACGTGGTGCTTCTCCCTCATCGGGGTGACTAATGAGTCTGTCTCGAGCCGCTGCGACTCGGGCTGGTGTTTAGTGGTTACGAATTATCCGCATTCCGACCTTTCACCGTCTGATGCTGGTCATGCCACTGCCTACTATGTTACTGACGACTGAGAGTATGGCCCCCTCCCTCCCATCGCCTAAAGTGATGCCAGTCCGTCGCAGGTAACTCCTCAGCAAATAAAAGTACCCATTTGTTCACTTGGATGAAGAGAGGCAAATAAGGGTAAAGTGGCTCGCCCAAGGCCTCATCAACATACGATCAGCAGCTGGATTCGAACCCCTGAGCCTACAAACTCCCAACCACTGGGCCTAAACCCTATTCTCTTCGAGCTCCTTGTCTGAGATTTCTATTAAATTGTCATTTTCGGTTGCATCCAGACCTCCTCGTCTGTCCAAGTGTATGCATGCTAATTATACTTGGAGCATTTCCTTGAGGCACTGCTGAGTTTGATGGAAATCTTATCATCAAGGAAATATACAATTGACTTTTCAAGTCCTTTGAAATTGTTAAAAGGTACAGTTTCATTGAGTTGTTATATAGTTAGGCTTTTTGTGAAGCTGCTCATTGTGACATGCTCTGTGGAAATGAGGCAGAAGTTACAAAAGCCACTTATGGGTTACAGACCTTTAAAGAGTCTTGTACTATGGAAATTGGAAGGAACCCTCAACATTCTCACACTCAACAATGTTCATTTTCATTGGGATATAATAATGAGAGAGAGTCATCAATGCAGAGAGCATTGCTTGGCCTTGCACCCGATCTGACTACCCACCGCTACTTACAAGTGAGGTCAGTGCAGCCAAATGACCATGCGGTAACTGTGATGCTAATATTTTATCGTATGATGCAATACAGTAGGGTAGTCGAATTGGGTGGGCTCTTTCTACTTCCAACTGAAACAGAATTACTGAAAAATGGAACTCATGGCTCATTCTCTCAGAACAGGTTACAAACTATTCTACTTAACCTTTGCTTGGTGTCGAGAAAAAGAGCACACAAACAGTCATCTCTGCCAGGACAAATGGTTTTATTTTACTAACCAAAGTGATAAGAGTTCGGATACAAAAAGCCATTTTTTAACCCAAATAAGGGGACCTCGTCCTTGAATGAATAATATCAAGTATCTATGAATTGAAATTTCAAAAGGTATCGTGATATGATGGAAAGGATAGGCCCCATTTATGCGAATGGCACTGGTCCCTTTGTCTTTTTAAAGGTAGTTTTTCTCTAAAGGCGGCAAAAGTAAGTCTCCATCCTAGAACTCATCTTCACATCAGAAACCCTTAAGTGTTTATATAGATTGGAAACACTTTGCCACTTTGTCGCATTATATGAGGATTGGAAGTAGAATGTGGACTTCAGTTGAGTATGGGTTGTCCAAGTCGGGAGGCGTGGAGTCTCTTGAAGTTGAAGTCAGAGATGAGGTCTAAATTCAGCCCTCTTGTTTCATTAGCTTCATTCTACCGAATTACTGTAATTATTGTATCACACTACAATGTTTGCAAATAATGTTTTACATATTAACACGCTGTTAACATTTAACTTCCATGTATCAGCGTGTATAGAACACATCCAAAAATCAACCGCTAAAAAAGCCCGTGTTATGTGTGTGTGATGACAGTGCCAAGTTCTGGGGATAATCAATCAGCAAGTTTAAAACTAACCTTTTTTTTGTACGTGTATAATATAATTACACTGACTCAAAGTCATTTCAAACCTACATGTATTTAATTCATCACTAAGAAAAACATTTTTTTTTGTTTTTAATTATAGTAACAACTAACATTTACATTTTATTGTTCTACTTGATATTGTGTCTGGATGTTACCCAACACACAAGTATAATTAGTGACTGTAATACTGCCACCTTTTCATAAGACTGACGATGTTTAGGTAAACAAGGAAAAACTGTAAAACAGCATATTGCGAGCATTTTTATTACATATAGTATCTTTGACAGATCTGAAGTTTAGTCAAGAGAATTGGGTGGTTTTGTTTGAAAAGAAAAATGGCAGTACAATGTAGACAGCTGTAGAAGTGACAATTTCATTCAGTCCGAGATCGGTTATAACCATTCCATAAAACCAGCAATCGAGGAAACTACATTAAACTTAAATGCAGTTCAAACAAAATGATTTTAAATGGAATTTGAACTGTTGTTGTATTTCACACAAATGGTTTCGTATGGAATTTGAACTGTGTTTTTGTGTTTGTATTTATGTATGTATATGCATATATATGTATATTTGGAGGGGGCATAATTTCCTTCTGCGGTTAGTGCACTGTGTTCAGCGTGACCCGACTCTCCAGTATTTTAATTCATATGTATTGTGTAAATATATATTTTACTCACCCATCACTGCTCTTGTTGGAGTACCATTTTAAAAACTGATAATGAATATTCAATAGGCATTTTCCCTTGTGATCAAGATTTGAAATTAAAAGGCAAACTTCACAATTACAAACCGTGAACATGTATTATGTGTGTGGAGTTTGATCTTAAGAGAAAGGTGGGTGTCGCCTCCATTGGTGTATAGATTTGAAAGAAATCGAATTCCATTAAGAGAACAGCAACGATGTCTTCTTGACACTTGCTTACAAATTGTGCTCGATCTCTTCATTGCTATCAAAAACGAGGTTAACGTGAACTTGATCTGCCGGACTGTCGACATGGAAGGTCGTCTGTACACCCTCCTCGGCTTTCTGGCCTTCTTTCTGCTTGCTTTCCGCTTGCTTGTCTGCTTTCTCGGCATCTTGCTCGGTCTTCTCGTTATCGTTGTTATCCTTCACCAGCACCTCTTGGTCTTCGTCCATCCGGCAGCATGTATTCAGGATCAGAACGTAAGTTAAGGTGGTGACAGTACCCTCTATTAGGCCGAGGAGGCCGACCATCAGCGGCACTCTACCCATCAGGTCGGACTCCGGCCGGGGATAGAACAGATCTAACATGGTCTTGGCCAGGAGCGCGTTCTGCGCTCCCGTCTCCAGCGCCACGGTGATGGCGGACTTCTTAGGCAGGCAAACAATCTTGGCGCTGACACCGCCCAAGATGACCCCGCCGATGGGCAGGAGGGCTGAGACCACCCACACCTGCCAGGGGGACTGGAAAATGTAGAGCTGGGAGGATATACCCAGCCCCAGCGCCAGCAGGATCAGGATCCCAGCCAGCGGCTTGAGAAGACTCTCACAGATCTTCTTGAACTTTTCAAATTTGTAGCAAAGTGCCATGCCGATCCCAATGGGGATGACGAGGAGAATCAGCTGGATGGCCAGCTCCACGAAGGGTGTCTTGAGTTGGGCGTTCTCCGCCACGATAGGCGTGGCATAGATGAAGAGATTGAGGGGCATGAGGCCCATGGCCATGACGGTGGAGCAGAAGGTCATGGTGAGACTCAGCACGAAGTCGCAGTCCAAGAGCAGGCTGAAGATGTTGCTGAGCCAGCCGCCGGGGCAGGTGCCGACAAAAATCAGGCCCAGGGCCGTCTCGTTATCCAGGGCAAAAATCTTGGTCAGGGCGAAGGCCCAGAGGGGCATCAGTATGAACTGGCCCAACATGCCGATCAGGATCCCCCATGGCGGCTTCATCTTGCTCCAGATGACCTTGGGCTGCATCTTTGCCCCCGTGGTGACGTAGGACAGGCACAGCCACACCAGGAGGACGTAAGTGAACAGGATGTCCAGGATGGTGGGCACCCGGATGACCTTGATGGTGTACTCACCGACAGCCACTCCCACCGCGCCCGCCGTCTGGGCTAGGCGGAGTCTTAACCTCTCGATGCCAACAAATTTGCCCTTGACGCGGACGGTCATGACCAGCGGCAGATCTGAGCTGTTTACGATGGTGTATTCCGTGGCGTTGACCACCTCGAACGTGCCTTCGTCCGTGCTGGCGACGCTTATAATGCCAGAATAGACACTGTTGGTGATGGTGATATTCAAGGGAAGCACCTGACCCTCCTTGACGGTCAGAAAGTCCGTGTCGCCATCATGGCTTACGGTGAAATTCACGGAAGGCTGTGCCAGAGCAAAGGCGAGCCAGACAGAAACAAGCAACACAGCTACGTGGATTCTCGAGGGGAAGGCCATTTCAAGGAGAAGGTTGTGTGCTGCACATAAAAAGGGTGCAGAATAAAGACATAATTAACGATTATGCTTTTTCCAGTGAGAAAAAGGCACACAGTTGTATCTAAAGCCCAATTGGTGCAAGTTTATACTTGGCTTGCTTTAGTCGACTTTCTGTCTTCGTGTATTTTGAAAAAATCTTTTTTTCCTTTACGTTGCATTTAACGCTTCTGAATTTCTCCGATCAATTTTCCGATGAAAGTTACACGGGGTTTTTCCTCGAAATTGAGGACGGGTCCTTAAAAATTTATTGAAATGAAAATTAAAAACTGAACACAAAATTAATCAAAGGAGAAATATGCAAATATGACAGCTGAAGAGTCTGAAGACGTCATTTTTGTTTGTGAATATTTACATAAGCTTGAATGTAAATGATTATCTCGATGTTCACGCAAAACATAGGGAAACGTTTTCCTTTACCAGCAAAGGTGGGGCAGTGTTGTCAAGGAGTACGTTTCCAAGCACGCCTCAATAAATTTGAGAAGAAAAAGAAACCCCTTCCGGCATTGATTTGCCCGACAGTCTATACATGCAATACCACAGGGTAATATTTCTCAAGGCTGTAAAAAAGACGTGGCCAGAATACTGTAATGAGTTTAAATTGATTGCTTGCCTCTCGGTGGTAGTGATTATGTTGTTTTGTTGTTAATGGCGCTTTCAGCTAATCAGGCTATTTGCGCCAATAAACTATGTGTTTATTCCACAACCTTTACTAATCAGCATCACATTACGGAGTGGGAAAGAATGTCCAGTTTAAAGGCAGCTAGGAGGGAACCGGAGTTTGCAGAGAAAAGCTGCAAGGCCTGAGCGAGTATGGACTGGAAACCAAATGCACTTAAGCCTGGGCCAAGCCGGGACTCTAACCCGGGCCAAATTAGTGGTGGAAAGCGAAGAAAGAACCGCTACGTTACCCGCTCCCCTGTGTTAGTGATTACATTGACAGTCGTGGTAAAGCTGTCTTAGCTGATGTACAGTTTACAGTGTTTTTAGCGATGCTATGATGATGTTTCTCTTTGCCAGCGTTGTTTGAAAGGATAATAAATTAACAGATAAATTTACTTTTGAGCTGTGTGGGAAGAGCGTCGACTAAGTAGCACCGCTTTGTGGAAAACTGATCGGTTTGGAACAGTAGGTTTATATTGTCTCTTTACAGAGTCATTCACTATGCACGCTCTTCCATGTTTCATTTCAAGTTCAACCAAACCAAGATGAACTTCAAATTTTAAAGGAGGATTAGCTGATACAGTTATTTTTCTTTTGTACTCAGCCGATAAACACGAGGACATCTCTACAAAATCACGCCTACCACCCACCTTGACGACGAACAGGGGGGTCTATCCACTCTTATAAAACTGTAGTCCGGTGCAAGTTTTTTCGAAGTCTTTCCAAGCTGCTTGAATCACATTTCACTATTGAACACAATGCATTTCATGGGCAGACCCTGGAACCTTGCAAACCTCAAAGGGTAAACAGAAAACCAATTGGATTTCACATCTGCCGCACAAATACTCCAAGGGGAGGAAGAGTACATCATCGCCCCACAAACAAACCGACTACCGCAGGAAGGCAACCGCCCATGGAACGCCAAACGTGAAAAGTGTGTTGTGAAGTTGTCAAACCATTTTGTAAAGTTGCCAAACCATTTGTTATGTTGTCAAACTGTTATGTGAAGTTGTCAATTATGTAATGTTGTCGATCTATTATGTGATGTTGTGAAACCATTATGTGACGTTGTCAAACAAACCGTTATTTAAAGTTGCCAAATCTTTATGTGGTGTTGTCGATCTATATGTGATGTTGTCTATTGCTGTGTTATGTTGTCAATCCACAGTGTAATGTAGTCAAACCATTATATGAAGTTGTCAAACCATTTTGTGATGTTGTCAAACCATTATGTAATGTTGTCAATCCATTATGTGAAGTTGTCAAACCACTGTATGATGTTGTCAAACCATGATGTGATGTTGTCAATCCATTAAGTGAGGTTCTCCACCCATTATGTCACGTTGTCAATCTATTAGGTGGGGTTCTCCACCCATTATGCCACGTTGTCAAGGCATTATGCAATGTTGTCAAACCATTATGTGATGTTGTCAATTAATTAATTATGTGAAGTTCTCAATCCATTATGTCACGTTGTCAAATCATTATGCGGTGTTCTTAATTCATTACGTCATGTAGTCAAAGTGTCACACTTCGCGTGGTCAATGCATTACATGGTGAGCTATCCCTTTACATAGCCCGTGTCGAATTGTGTGATGTAGTTAATCTATTATGTTAAGTTGTCAGCGAATTACGTGGGTGTAGTCACGGCATTATGCTGCCTCTCCGCTTGTGGAGCTATCCCTGTGCACGACCCTTGGTGGTTTTTCTGTGGGTAAGGCCAAAACGTGGCCAAGCAATACACGAGAAAGCTAGAGGATTGAGCCCATTTTAAAGAGTTTGGAATTGGAATATCTGTTGTCAGAGTATTTTCAGGGAAAACGTAAGTAAACATTTTGCGCCTTCATAAGCTCAATATTAATTAATATTACTTCATGCCCATGCAAAGTCTCTGGGGGGCTTGTGGTATATCTTTGCATGTCCTTTATGTATAGCCGCCCCATGGAAATTATTTGAGAGAAGGGTGCTTCATAGATCCGGGGGGGGGGGGCTGCAGACAGATTTTGAATAGTGATTTTTCACAATAACTGTATTTTATGACCAGATCCTCTAAATGTATTACATGTATACAATTTTCTCAGGTCAACCGTTGTATATGCATGTGCCAATTTTATTCGTGTTTCTCCCAGAGTGTTTTAAGCGAGTTACAGTAACAGTTTTCATTTCAAAATCTACTACATGTATAGCCAAATTGTACATGTATTAATGTCAACACTTTGAGCAATATATTTTTTCTCACCTGTTTCAGTGATGACCTCATGTTTGCAAATTATTGTTAATTAGGTAAGGAACAGCCAAATTAAAGACAAGAGATCATCATGTCGGATGATGCAAGATTCATCCTTAGGAAAAAGGTACCGGTAAAGTAAGAGCTGTGCAGAAGCGTGTTAGTCATGTTCATCATTTAGCACTCCTTGGCTTTACATCTGCATTCTAAATGTGAAACGAACAATGACAATTTTAAATATCATAATACTGTTTACCTTATTACGGGGTAAATGTTAGTACATGCATCGCTCACTATAAAGCAGCCATTTCAAGGATGTTACAACTTGATTTATAAAACACTGCAAAATTTCAACAAAGTGATTGTTAGCATCGTTCCAGCCAAGTCACATTCCTCGATCTCGTTACCTGCGAATGGTTCAACATAGAAGAGAAACTAAATACTTGAGTGGCTAGAAAAAACAAATCAACTGAAGAGGTAGGGGCGACATGTATGATTACGCCCCTTCCTGTCATAATCCATATACATGGGTTATGCTACCAGTGTAAATACAAGGGTTTAAATCTACTTGATGGTCTCTTGTCTTTTACCTGAGGTCATCACTGAAACAGGTGAGAAATGATATATTGCACAGAGTGGTGACATTGATACATGTACATACTAATAGACTTTGAAATAAAAACTGTTACTGTAACTCACTAACAGTATGGGAGAAATACGAATGAAATTGGCACGTTGCATATGCAACAGTTGACCTGAGCAAAATAATATATTGAGAGGATTTGGTCATTGAATACAATTACAGTGAAAAAAAAAATCACTAATGTCTGCAGCCCCCCCCTAATGGATCTTTGAAATTCCTCTTTGAAATAATCTCCAGGGGCGGCTATTAACACGGGACATGCACAGATTTATTTGATACCACAAGCTCCCTACCAGAGGCTTTAATTGCATGTGCATAAAGTAACAGTGTATTAATATTGAGCTTATGCAGGGGCAAAATGTCTACTTAAGTTTTCCCTGAAAATATACTGACAAAAGATATTCCGATTTCAAATTCTTTAAAATGGGCTCAATCCTGTCTAGTGTACTGCATGGCCACATTTTGGCCGTTGCCTACCCACAGAAAAGTGCCACAGCCCGTACACAGGGATAGTTCCACAGGCGGAGAGGCAGCATAATGCTGTGACTACACCCACGTAATTCGCTGACGACTTCACATAATGATCACAACATCACATAATTCGACACGGGCTATGTAAAGGAATAGCTCACCACGTAATGCACTGACTACGCGAAGTATGACGCCTCGACTACATAACGTAATGGATTAAGAACATAGCATAATGCTTTGACAACGTGACACAACGGATTGAGAACTTCACATAATGGATTGAGAACTTCACATAATGGATTGACAACATCGCACAATGGTTTGACAACATTGCATAATGCCTTGACTAGGTGACATTATGGATGGAGAACTTCATGCAGTGGATCGAGAACTTCACGCAATGGATTGACAATTAACATTACATTATGGATTGACAACATCACATAACGATTTGACAACATCACAAAGTGGATTGACAACATCACATAATTGCTTGAAAATATCACGTAGGCCTAATGGTTTGACAACATCGCATGCTTTGACAACGTGACATAATGGATTGGGAACTTCACATAATAGATTGTGAACATCATATTGTGGTTTGACAACTTCATATATTGGTTTGACAACATCACATAATGACTTGACAACTTCACATAATGAATTGACAACATCACATAATTTTGTGACAACATCACATCACAGATTGAGGACATGATCAAACTACGTTCACCGATTAACGTAATATTTTGTACATTTGGCGTTCCATACATGCTTCGTTTGCAGGTGCGCTGCCGCAACGGAGTGCGTCCCTGACTCCCAAACAAACGTCATAAATAACATTTTGCCACTGCCACTTACCAACGGAGGGGTAGTAAACGATTCTTTCCGTGACTGCGCACAAAGTTCAGTTGGCCCAATTAATGTTTTTACGATACTCCATCACCGCCATCCCTTGTCCGACGTGACGAGTTACAACCCGCCTACATCTGGTTGATTTCCAAGTGCTCCCTCCCCCGGGCAATTGACATTTCTAGTTTTATTTTGTATCGGGTGTTGTTCGGTAAACACGTCAATAAATAAGCTAAGGCAAACGATCGGCTACCGTGCACTACGTCATCAAGATGGAAACCAAACCAAACCAAACCATTCCAAACCAAACCAAACCAAATCAAATCAACAAAACAATTAAAAAAAACCCGACTTTTCCTGTAACCACGCTTATTTGGGGATATCGCTTTGGTTTTAGTTTTTGTCTTGTTTTATTTTTGTTTATAGTGGAAAATAAAATAAATGAAATAAAAGGTTGCACTACGTGTGGTAGTTTCGACAAGCAAGGGTGGCACTCTACAGCATGCAGTCCCTTTGTGTTAAAGGGAGCATAAAACGTTAGTGTGAGGAGGTAGGGTTAAAATACAGCAACTCTTCTTCCACAAAACTATCAGGACATTCCACACGTTCGACGTCATCCCACTTTGAGCGGGTTTTAAAGCATTTATTTTGCAATTTCTTTTGCTGTGTCTACCAGACTACTACTTCAATGGAAAGATCGAGTCCAAAATTTATTACATTACAAATTGAGCTATAACACATCATACTCTATATTCCATCAACAACTTAAAAAGTTAACATTTTCTAAAATATTTCAGGCTTTTAAAGGACAGCTTTGGTGAGATGCTGGTGTTTTTGCTAGAAGAAGGGTTGTAAATTTTATGATCAAACACGGAAGTATTCCATGAGGTAATAGGATCGGCACATGGAAATGCAAGAAAGATGGACACGCTCAACGATCAATAATTTAAACACCAACCCTCATCCCTCAACAAACGTGCGCATTCAAGGGAGTTGTCACTGTCTAACACTCGGTTTTCGAGGTATCGTTTTTCAAAAATTAGTCCCATCCATAAACTTCATGCCATTCGTACCTGCACTTGCTCAGCCACATTTTTGGATTGTTGTGTACAGATTTTTTGCCTTGGCCATTCGAAATACCTGTTTGTCCCGATGACTAGGCCTATACGCGTTTGTGTGTTTATAGTGTAATTCGACCACCAGAATTAGAAGCCGGTGGCACAACGCTCGTGGACAGGTGGTACGCGCGCGTTACATGCCTTTTCGACCGATAGGCTGTCGTGATTTGCAAAATGCACGCGTGCGTCAAGCTAAAGAATGTGCGTGTGAGTGCTGTGCCACCGCAGTTATGGCGTCTAATCGGATTAGTCTATTAGTCTTATGGCGATTTTTCAATTGAATTACGTGTAAATAACAACTAACGTTCAAGTGACTTTCTTGCTCGTGGAGCGCGCGGCATGATGTTGGAAAAATGGATAATGGTTTTTATTGAAAGTTTTACCCTCGAAAACCCAAATTACTTAA